TGCATGCTATGACCACTTTGCAGGTCTTCCAAGCGAAGCTGCTCAGAGACATGCACGAGGGCGGGACTGATCCGACGGCATTTAAAGAACTGCGGTCCGCCACTGACCTTGCTCTCCGGGCAACGAAAGTGGCTGCTCGCGCCGTTGGTCAGGTGATGGCCACTAGCGTGGTTCAGGAGCGTCATCTGTGGCTCAACCTGGCGGATACGCGGAGCGCTGAGCGGACTCGTCTGCTCGACGCTCCGCTGTCCCAGGTTGGCCTTTTCGGCGGTGCGGTCGAGGACTTCGCCCAACAGTTCTCCACTGCCCAGAAGCAGACGGAGGCCATTAAACACATCCTGCCCCGACGACCAGCTGCTGCCTCCACCCAGTCGTCGGCACAGGTGCCTCCCCCTGCTCGCCGCCGAGGACGCCCCCTGCGGCTCCCCTCCCTCCCGCCCGGCCCCAGCAGCAGCCTTCACCCGGGCCCCGGCGTCGAGGAGGCCGCAGGCCGGCGTCACAGCCCCCTCAGGCCGCTCGCCCCGCTAAACGCCAGGCCAAGCGAAGATCCTGACACGGGCAGCTCAGTGTCGATCTCGAGTCTTTCCCAGGAGGCGGTAGCAGGCCCCCTCCTTCCCCCGGTGGAGGGCCGGGGGAGAATCTTTTGTTCTCAGCTCCCCGCTGCTCACCCACGGGTGGGCAGCACCCTGAACTGGTTAAAGAAAGACTTGACATCCTCACTGAGCTCACAGACTGGAGTGAGTGCCCCCGATGCCCCAGTGTGTCGGCCCACTCACTCCTCTCTGTCTCGGAGGGCGCGGAAGGGTGCGTGTGTCGTCCCCGGGCTACACCAATCCCTTCCCCCTCTCTCGCCAGACCCCCGGCAGAACGGACCCCCGTGGAACGCTCCGCTTTCCCTGGTCCCTTCTGTCGGGGAGCGGGCTTCGACGCATCCGAGCGGGTAACTCCTGCACGCGTGCCAGTCGACCCGCCACGCTGCCCCTCCGGGGGGACGTCTGTGGTTCACATGACCCCGTTGGCTCACTTCCTGGAAGCCTGGCTAGCGCTTCCGGGGTATCCCGCTGGGTCATCAGAACGATCAGATTCGGCTACGCGATTCAGTTCGCACGGTCTCCTCCCCGCTTCAGGGGAGTTCGCTCCACGATAGTCGGTGGCAATGCCCCAGTCCTGAGAGCGGAGATTGCGACCCTGCTGGCGAAGGGTGCAATCGAGACGGTCCCTCCAGCCGAGGTGAGGTCCGGGTTTTACAGCCCCTACTTCATTGTCCCCAAGAAGACCGGTGGGTTACGACCGATCCTGGACCTGCGCATTTTGAACCGTTCTCTCCATCGACTACCGTTCAAAATGCTCACGGCCAAACGCATTTTCGAAAATGTGTTCGGTATCAGGATTGGTTTGCAGCGATCGACCTGAAGGACGCGTACTTCCATGTGTCCATCTTACCTCGACACAGACCGTTTCTTCGGTTTGCTTTCGAGGGCCAGGCATATCAGTACGCCGTTCTCCCATTCGGGTTAGCTCTGTCCCCTCGCGTCTTCACGAAGATCGTCGAGGCAGCCCTTGTTCCCCTTCGCGAACACGGGGTTCGCATCCTGAATTATCTCGACGACTGGCTGATACTAGCACACTCTCGAGCTCAGCTTTGCGAACACAGAGACTTGGTGCTCCGGCACCTAGCCCGTCTGGGCCTTCGGGTCAACCGAGAAAAGAGCAAACTTTGCCCCGTGCAGAGGATCTCTCTTCTCGGCGTGGAGATAGACTCGGTCGCCATGTCTGCGCAGCTCACGAACGAGCGCGCGCACTCACTGCTGACTTGTCTTCGTCAGTTCGAGGCCAAGAGTGCGGTTCCACTGAAACTGTTTCAGAGGCTCCTGGGGCATATGGCATCCGCGGCCGCGGCAACGCCGCTCGGTTTGCTTCATATGAGACCGCTTCAGCTGTGGCTTCGCAATCGAGTCCCGAGGTGGGCATGGCATCGCGGCTCGCTCCGAGTCCCAGTGACTCCGGCATGCCGGCGAACCTTCTTCCCGTGGTCGAACCTCAGCTTTTTACGGACGGGCGTCCCTATTCAGCGAGTTTCCAGGCATCTCATCGTCTCCACGGATGCATCTACCACGGGTTGGGGTGCCATGTGCAATGGGCATGCAGCCGCCGGCTCCTGGACGGGGGCCCAGCGCCTCATGCACATCAATTGCCTCGAGCTGCTGGCAGTACGGCTCGCCCTGCACCGCTTCAGAGCATTGCTCAAGGGCCAGCATGTGCTTGTCCGCTCAGACAACACTACGGCTGTAGCATACATCAACCACCAGGGGGGTCTACGCTCGCGCCAGTTGTCGCAGCTCGCCCGCCACCTCTTGATATGGAGTCAGAAGCACCTGAGGTCCCTTCGTGCAGTTCACATTCCTGGAGACCGAAACTGGGCAGCCGACGAGCTGTCTCGGGTCCGTCCTATCTCCGGCGAGTGGCGACTCCATCCCCAGTCGGTCCAGCTGATCTGGAAAGAGTTCGGGGAGGCACAGATAGATCTGTTCGCCTCCCGGGACTCAGCCCACTGCGCCCAGTTTTATTCTCTGACCTGGGGCACTCTCGGTTCGGATGCGCTGGCGCACAGCTGGCCACGGGGCCCACGCAAGTATGCGTTTCCCCCAGTGAGTCTCCTTGCACGGGTGTTGTGCAAGATCAAGGAGGACGAGGAGCAGGTCTTGCTGGTAGCCCCCTATTGGCCCACCAAGACGTGGTTCTCCGATCTCATGCTCCTCGCGACAGCACCTCCTTGGCTTATTCCTCTGAGACAAGACCTACTCTCTCAGAGACGGGGCACTCTGTGGCACCCTCGTCCCGATCTTTGGAGGCTGCACGTGTGGCTCCTGGACGGGACGAGGCAGGTTTGAGTTCGCTGCCACCTGCGGTGGCGGCAACCATCACTTCCGCAAGAGCGTCGTCCACGAGGCACCTTTATGCGTTGAAGTGGAACCTCTTCGTCAATTGGTGCTCTTCTCGCGGAGAAGACCCCCGGAGAAGTCCGATCAGTGTCGTGCTTTCCTTCCTGCAAGAAGGGTTGGAGCGCAGGCTGTCGCCCTCCACCCTTAAGGTCTATGTCGCGGCCATTGCCGCTTCTCATGAAGCAGTGGAAGGTAAGTCCTTAGGGAAGCACGACCTGGTCGTCAGGTTCCTGAGGGGAGCGAGGAGGCTGCATCCGCCTCGTCCTCCCCTCGTACCCTCTTGGGACCTCTCAGTAGTTTTAAGTGCTCTGCAGAGGCATCCCTTTGAGCCTTTGCAATCAGTAGAGTTGAAGTTTCTGTCCATGAAGACAGCACTCCTGGTTGCATTGGCCTCCATCAAGAGGGTGGGGGACCTGCACGCATTCTCCGTTGACGAAGCGTGCCTGGAGTTCGGGCCGGCTTACTCTCACGTGATCCTGAGACCCCGGCCTGGATATGTGCCCAAGGTTCCCACCACTCCCTTCCGGGACCAGGTGGTGAACCTGCAAGCGCTGCCCCTGGAGGAGGCAGACCCAGCCTTGGCACTGCTCTGTCCGGTACGTGCTCTCCGCACCTATGTCGACAGAACGCAGTGTTTCAGGACCTCAGACCAGCTCTTTGTCTGTCATGGAGGGAGCCAGAAGGGAAGGGCTCTCTCAAAGCAACGGCTATCCCACTGGATTGTGGATGCCATTGCTTTGTCTTACCAGCAGCAAGGCCTTCCGTGCCCCCTTGGTGTGACGGCCCATTCCACTCGGAGTGTAGCCTCCTCTTGGGCTTTAGCGCACGGCGCCTCGCTAACAGACATCTGCAGAGCTGCAGGCTGGGCGACACCCAACACCTTCGCCAGATTCTATAATCTGCGAATTGAGCCAGTGTCCTCTCTCGTACTCGTTCCGGCCGGTACTGGACCCGCTCAGGTGTCTTCGCTTGCTCGCCACTCCACTCCCCGGACTGGATAAGTGCGATATTTCTCAGTTCTTCCATTGAAGTCTTGAGTCCTCCAGCACCGACGATGTGGGCACCACTGCTGTTGCTCTGGATGCTAGCTAGGTGCCTCCATGCGCATGGTTCCCCTTGGTAACCGTCTCATGTGTATTATCCACTGTAAGCCTCTCTGAGCATGTGTCTTCCCTTGGCAAGCCATCTGCCACCCCTGGAGTTTAAATTATTAGCCACCTGCGGTTGGTACTCCAGTGTTCCATATGCCTTCCTATGTGGCCATATGTATTCTTAAGTCCTCCCTTCGGTAGGCAGCTGGTAGCATGTCCCCTTCGGGATATGTTCCCAGTGTACCTTGGTAATCCTGTGTCAAAGTCGGATCCCCAAAAAAAAAAAAAAAAAAAAAAAGAGATAAAGCTCGGGGGTTCAGTCTTTCGCAGGGCACTGGAAGACAGCTTGAAGATGGCGTGATGGCACAGACCCCCAATCTCCGTCACTTCTGACGTAACTCGAAGTGACTACGAAAGGGAACGTCTCGGTTACGTATGTAACCCTCGTTCCCTGAGTAGGGAACGGAGACGTTACGTCTCCCTGCCACTTCTGCTGTATCGCTGGGTAGAGGCCGAGTTCAGTCTTGGCTCCTCAGCGAAGACATACTGCGGTTGCGTTCACTTCCTCCTTTTATACTCACGGAGTAGGGCGGAGTACGCTATGCAAATTTCCGCAGCCCCAAGGCATTGCATGCCATTGGCTCGTGTTTTAATACTCGAAGAGGATTGGCTTTCTATGCGAAATCCCCCAATCTCCGTCACTTCTGACGTAACGTCTCCGTTCCCTACTCAGGGAACGAGGGTTACATACGTAACCGAGACGTTTTTGGTTATCATAACGTTAGTTTTTGGTTACCAGAAAGTTCGTTTTTGGTTCCCAGAACATTATTTTTTTATGGTTTGTTTTTAGTTAGACAATAGTTTTCTTTATGTTCAACAACAATTCATCTTTTTTTTTTTACTTCAATAAAATACAACAGTAAATCTATATAAATAATAAACCTGTACAGTCCATGTTTTTGTCGATTCATTTGTTTAATTGTTGATTAAAAACAGACAAAAAAACACAATTATATAGGCCTAGGCTGTGCATCACATTCAAAACAGGCAAAATGAAAAGGTGAAACGAAAACAATTGTAGATCCTGCACTTGAAAGCCTCATCCATCTTCATCCATCTTCACCACAGTCATCTGTAAGAATAACAAATAGTAACATTATTACAAAGAAAAGTAAAAAAAAAATATATATTCTTCAATCAGTCACTGCCATTTAAGTGAAATGACTGAACCTTAAAGGAACACTCCGACTTTTTGGGACTTTAGCCTATTCACCTCATCCCCCATAGTTAGATAAGTCCATACATACCTTTTTCATCTCCGTGCATGCTATAAGTCTGTTTGACGCACCCACCGCTAGCCTAGCTTAGCACAAAGACTGGATGTGAATGGTTGCAGCTTTCATACTAATCCAAATGAGTGACAAAATAACGCAAACGTTTTCCTATTTACATGTTGTGGTTTGTATAATTATTTATAATTATTTATATTAATGTATAATATGTGTGCTAAACAAAAGTGTATATAGTTTCTCATTGATAATTGTCTTGAGATATTCACATTTATTCACATTTATAAACTTATTATTATAATCTCCTAAAGTCTTAGAATTTTTATGTTTTCAAGTTCATGATTATTTTTTATTTAATTTTGTAATACATGTTTATAAAAATACATGTTCACGTTTTTTATATGTAGATACATTTTTTTGCATACATTTAATTTATTGTAATGATTTTATATTCATACAATCAATTGTTTTAATTTTTTAAAATAATTACTATTCAGGTCAATGTGAACAATAAACAATGTCAGTTTCTCATGATATTTAATTAGTATATGATCATATACACTCACCGGCCACTTTATTAGGTACACCTGTCCAACTGCTCGTTAACACTTAATTTCTAAGCAGCCAATCACATGGCGGCAACTCAGTGCATTTAGGCATGTAGACATGGTCAAGACAATCTCCTGCAGTTCAAACCGAGCATCAGTATGGGGAAGAAAGGTGGTTTGAGTGACTTTGAACGTGGCATGATTGTTGGTGCCAGAAGGGCTGGTCTGAGTATTTCAGAAACTGCTAATCTACTGGGATTTTCACGCACAACCATCTCTAGGGTTTACAGAGAATGGTCAGAAAAAGAAAAAACATCCAGTGAGCGGCAGTTCTGTGGGCGGAAATGCCTTGTTGATGCCAGAGGTCAGAGGAGAATGGCCAGACTGGTTCGAGCTGATAGAAGGGCAACAGTGACTCAAATAACCACCCGTTTCAACCAAGGTGGGCAGAAGAGCATCTCTGAACGCACAGTACGTCGAACTTTGAGGCAGATGGGCTACAGCAGCAGAAGACCACACCGGGTGCCACTCCTTTCAGCTAAGAACAGGAAACTGAGGCTACAATTTGCACAAGCTCATCGAAATTGGACAATAGAAGATTGGAAAAACGTTGGCTGGTCTGATGAGTCTCGATTTCTGCTGCGACATTCGGATGGTAGGGTCAGAATTTGGCGTCTACAACATGAAAGCATGGATCCATCCTGCCTTGTATCAACGGTTCAGGCTGGTGGTGGTGGTGTAATGGTGTGGGGAATATTTTCTTGGCACTCTTTGGGCCCCTTGGTACCAATTGAGCATCGTTGCAACGCCACAGCCTACCTGAGTATTGTTGCTGACCATGTCCATCCCTTTATGACCACAATGTACCCAACTTCTGATGGCTACTTTCAGCAGGATAATGCGCCATGTCATAAAGCTGGAATCATCTCAGACTGGTTTCTTGAACATGACAATGAGTTCGCTGTACTCAAATGGCCTCCACAGTCAACAGATCTCAATCCAATAGAGCATCTTTGGGATGTGGTGGAACGGGAGATTCGCATCATGGATGTGCAGCCGACAAATCTGCGGCAACTGTGTGATGCCATCATGTCAATATGGACCAAACTCCCTGAGGAATGCTTCCAGCACCTTGTTGAATCTATGCCACGAAGAATTGAGGCAGTTCTGAAGGCAAAAGGGGGTCCAACCCGTTACTAGCATGGGGTACCTAATAAAGTGGCCGGTGAGTGTATGTCCTATTTACATTTATTAAATTATTACAGGCTAATCTCTTTAGTTTTAGAATCTTTATCTTCATGGTTATCTTCATGGTTTCAAACTGCAATTTTGAAATTTTTTTATAAATATATTTAAAATATATGTGCATGGCTTTTCGTGGCATTAAAATTTTGTGCATACATTACATTTATTGTAGTAATCTTCATACGATTCTTATGTTTTGGAAAAAATAAACAACATAGAAGATATTTTTTGTAGACTTATTTGTGTACAGGCATATCGGGATGTAGAGGTTAGGAGAACGTTCCGGGAACCTTTAGGGAACGTTCCCGAAATGTGAATAGATCACAATGTAGACTGAGGAATAAACTGAGTCCTCAGTCTTCACGCATGTCGGTTTCGCAAATGTAAACAGACACATAGGGATCACACTTGGATGTTGGATCGTCTGAATATTACCTTTCTGCTCGTCTCCTCAGATCTCTTAACTTTTGTGTCATGCAGACCTTGATCTCAGTGCCTCCGATGCCTGGGTGCCTCTTTTTGACATAGTCTGTAAGAAATGAGATTGATTACATTAAAATTTGAAAACAAGTTTGTCATGACGTGACATAACTGCCAGATTCAAACTGTGCTTTCCACGCTATGGCTGGCGCTGACAGATGCGCTCAGCGCTTGTCATATAATAACTATTGATAAAAGATATTCAGACATGCTTACCAATTATTAGCTGCACCTTTTGTAGGTCAAGGCTCTTTTTTCACCAACAACCCCTTTTTTTCCGTTCATGTTGCCATCTCTTTGAAAGACAAGATGGAGTTCATAAGAGTTCTGGTTAACTTTTTGTAACCCTTACATCTCTGAGCATGATCCAAACCAACTGGGTTCATTAAGTCAGTCACAAACTTGTTCTGCAAAGCAAAAAATAAGATAATTTCCGTCAGGACAGAAACTGTGATCTTTTCAACGTTATTGCATATTAGATGAGGTTTTCACGTTGGAGCTGTGAGTGTAAATTTTAGCATACAAGTATTTATTGTTCATGCTCGAGTCTTGTTACTCTTTTACCTTCATAGGTATTCCAGAGTTTAGGGGTAAAATGCGAGAAATCTCCTTTTGTGGACTTTTATGCTGGGCACTACTCACTGATCTATATAAACGACTTGATTGCTCACGACGTCATGTAAATTGAAGTCACCATATTCAATTGAATTAATAGGAAATTATTATCAATGTTAAAAACAGTTATGCTGATTAATGCGTTTGTGTAAACCATTGTAACAGTTTAAACCATTTTTCCCCCTCCAAGATTCATTGTTAAATAGACCACAAACATATGAAGGGTAGTTTACACTAATGTTCAAACATTTGGGGTCAATGATAGATTTAAAAATTAATAGAACAAAAAAAGAAGAAATTTTTACTCAGCATGGATGCATTACATTAACAAATATAATCAAATAAATGCTGTTATTTAAACCTTTCTATTCATCAAATAATCCTGAAAAACACAAAAATATGAAGCAGCACAACTGTTTTGAACACTGCTAATAATCATAAATGTTTTTTTATTTATTGCCCTTCTTCGGCTCACCTGTGTCCTAACGTTACTTCTCCGGCAGCAGCTTTCTTCAGAAATGTTGAAGTAGGAGCTTTTTCCATGGCAACTCTGCGCGCCGGCCGCTCCAGTGTTTGAGAGACTCGAAAGTTCACGTGCACGGCATTAATGATTAACCACGTCAAAATCATGCAGCACGTAAATATATACATACAATAAAGATGTCCTGAAAGTGCTTTGTAAATAGAATATGAAAGCAGTAGCCTATTGATTATATCAAATAACATTATTGTCGTTGAATATTCAACTGTAAACCTGGACTTTCACAGAGAGCTTTGGTTATTATATTAAACCTATAAATAACCTGCAGGGAACGTTCTGGAAAGGTTCTCTTTAGGTTACAAAATTAAACCTAAAAATAACCTGCAGGGAACGTTCTGGAAAGGTTTTCTTTAGGTTACAAAATTAAACCTAAAAATAACCTGCAGGGAACGTTCCCGGAACGTTCTCTTTAGGTTATAAAATTAAACCCAAAAATAACCTGCAGGGAACGTTCCCGGAACGTTCTCTTTAGGTTATAAAATTAAACCCAAAAATAACCTGCAGGGAACGTTCCCGGAACGTTCTCTTTAGGTTATAAAAATTAAACCTAAAAATAACCTGCAGGGAACGTTCTGGGAAGGTTCTCTTCAGGTTACAAAATTAAACCTAAAAATAACCTGCAGGGAACGTTCCCGGAACGTTCTCTTTAGGTTATAAAATTAAATCTAAAAATAACCTGAAGGGAACGTTCCCGGAACGTTCTCTTTAGGTTATAAAAATTAAACCTAAAAATAACCTGCAGGGAACGTTCTGGGAAGGTTCTCTTCAGGTTACAAAATTAAACCTAAAAATAACCTGCAGGGAACGTTCCCGGGAACGTTCTCTTTAGGTTATAAAATTAAATCTAAAAATAACCTGCAGGGAACGTTCCCGGAACGTTCTCTTTAGGTTATTAAAAAAAAACCTACAGAGAACGTTCTTAGAACGTTCTTATTTGGTTCCCAAAAAAATAACCAAATGGGAACCATATGGGAACGTTAGGGGAACGTTCTGTGTTTACTGGGTAACAGAGCTACGCAAACAGAGCGAACAGGAGAGCACCCGTCTACAGACGTCAATAATGGAATATACTCCAGATCAAACTCCGCTTCCCGAAAGTTATAAACTGCCTCCGGAACCTAGTTAAGGTACAAACATCTATTCAACAAAAATAGTGATGCAGTTAAGTGTTTATTCGCTCAGCCGAGCCCTCTCTGTTGCTGTGTGGAGCAGCCTGTGTCAGTCACCTCTTCCTGAACGTCGCTCACTCAACTCGCGCACTGCGGTCTCGTGAGGAACGCAGCTTTTAGATATAAAGTATTTCTTGTTACCGAACACAAATATTTTTTTAAGTATTTATTCGGAATAAGTATTCGTAAAAAACACATTATTTGTGCCTTTCCGAATACCGTATTCGGATTCGGCTCCACCCCTACCGTATAAATAAACTTAGTGTAGTCCGTCATCAGTTCGCCAGCGAGATCGTTGAGTCAACAGAAGTGGCAGTGCACAAACATCACAGGATCCGGAAGTCCAGCGTATCAGCGTAATAATCCCCTATTCGATTTGGAAATGTGACATTCGAATGATCGTTGTTGTTTTTTTTGTACACCTGGCATCCCACTCGGCTCTCATTCACGCTTGAATATGTTTTACATTTTAAAATCTAGTGAAATATAATACTTAACATAAAACTTTGTTAAAGCTATTTAATAAATATATTTGCTGCTTCTTGGACTACTAAAAGTGTTCCTGCAACGGGAGGCGATATTTTTTTCCAGGATGGAGAAGGGCTCTCCTCCGATTGGTTATTTGATTTGGCTGTGAAACGTCATCTCACGTTCTTGGCAGGCTGTCTGCTAGTCTGTTTTGACCCTACTCCTAAACCTACCCAACACACACACACACACACACACACACACCCACACACACTCACGCCTCATCTTGATCTGTTGAATGATCTCCAGCAGCTCCATCTCTGTCGGCATGTAACCCATCGTCCTCATGCACTCGGCCAGATCCTTATAGTTCAGGTATCCGTCCTGATCGTAGTCGAACTCCTTAAAGGCTTCGGACAACTCTGGAAAACCAGAACTCGTGTCACACACATACACACACACGCTGTGTGTGTTCAAACCTGAGATATGATGCTCTGATACTCACCATCGAGCTCCAGCTGAGATAACTCTCTCTCCTGACGTGACAGATCGACCGACCGCAAAAGAAAAGGAGATGGACCTCGTTGCTGCAGTCAATCTGCTCTGTTTAGAGCAGGGGAACCGCTCACTCGAGGACCACTTGGCGGATTTCCTCTCCCTCGTCCCAGCCACATCTTTCCCGGACGACAGCCTCTGCAGCTTCCTATATGCTGGCCTCAACACCGCCACCAGAGAGCTGTTGTCCGGGGAAGGTCCTCTGTGGAACTTCGCTGCCTATGTGGAGTGGGTGCTGGTGTCATGTGGATCTTCCTTCACCGTTGACGACGGCACCAGCCCCACTCCAACGCCCGAGATCTCCTCATCGCTGGTTCCGCCCAGCCCCATCTGGCCAGAGACCGTCCAGACTGTCCAGCCAGAGACCGTCCAGACCATCCAGCCAGAGACCGTCCAGACCGTCCAGGCAGAGACCGTCCAGACCGTCCGGCCAGAGACCGTCCAGATCGTCCAGCCAGAGACCGTCCAGACCGTCCAGCCAGAGCCCGAGACCGTCCAGCCAACGCCAGAGACCGTCCAGCCAGCGCCCGAGACCGTCCAGCCAGAGCCCGAGACCGTCCAGCCAACGCCAGAGACCGTCCAGCCAGCGCCCGAGACCGTCCAGCCAGCCTCCCTCTCCCACCTCCTCCCGTCATGCATCCGTCAGCCCTTCCGTCTGCCAGCTCCCCTGACCCAGCCTGGTCGTGGGATCCCCGGTTTTCGCCTCCCAACTCCTCCACATGGACACTTCCTCGGCCCCCGGTCCCATTGGCTCCCCCGTGGCTCATACCTCCCTCAGCTCCTCCATGGTCCCTCAGTCCACCAGCTCGTCCAGGCTCCCTCTGTCCTCCGGAGTCCTCAACCTGCTCCGCCCTGGCCACGCCCTCAACCCGCTCCGCCCTGGCCACGCCCTGCTCAGCCCTCAGATCGTCCCCCCTCCTTCCTCTGTTCTGCGGCGTGAGGTCACGCTTCCCGGGAGGGGGGAGTTCTGTCACAGTCTGCGCCTGCACCATCCTGTCTGCGTCTCCTGCACTACACTTCCCATGATCCTCTCGTCTGCACACCTGAACTCACTCCCTCATCAGCCTCCCGTTCAGCGTCCTGTATTCATCTGTTTCATCTGTTTTCACCCCATTATGTTTGATTCCTCTGTGTATTTAGTTCCCTCAGTTTTACTCTGTCTTTGTCGGTCGATGTCTATTGATGTTTATTGTGAACCCGTGTGGTGCCCGTGTTCCTGTCTGACTGCCTGTTTATATATATATATTAAAAACCTGTTCTTCCCGATACTCCGGTCTCCTCGTTCCTCTGCCAGAGCCACACCGTGACAATATCCACACAGAGGACAGCTGGGTAACAACATACTGAGTGTTCTGGTGACGCCTGTGTTTTATTATGGATCATTAACTGACGTTAAAGTGAAAGTAAACCAGGAGGAAAATCAGGAGCACGTTTGATTCTCACTCAGTTTCGTCTGCTTTTATGAATTATATTCGAATGTGCTGAATGTGTCTAATGGCTCAAATTCATCATAATTAACACTGTGATTTAACGGACCAGTCTTTGTCTCTGGTGAGTTTCTGTTTCCTCATTGAACACGACAGTCTGATTTATAATATCTCGATTATTATTCGTGTGTTTCTGGCAAAATCCCCCAGAGTTTGTTTTATTTGAGTGTCTGTATTTTCTCAGAAATGTTGCCGATTATTATTATCATCGCTTTACTGCTGAAACTCCTCATAGAGACTACAGGTAAGAGCAAACACATTTGGATTTCATTCAGTTTTAAGGCTTTATAAATGAAATCTACAAATGTTTATATTTATCGAATAATTTTAATATGTGAACACTTTCTAATTATTGCACCATAGATTAAATATTTGCAGACATAGAAGATTATTTACAAGAAGTTTTTTGAGACTCAATCTCTCTTATCTCTATGTCCACAACTTCAATATTCAATATCAGTCCAAAGTGCAAAACTAGATTTAGAACCACGTAACTCGTAAATATAATGAATAATAGGCTATACAGTATATAGGCCTATCAGGTTCGGCAGCATTTTTAGTTTTTTGTAAAAGGCACTTTTATAATTACCTTGTCAAATGTATATATGTTTTATTTGTCATATTTTTTATTTGTATCAAATATCTGTTGCCAATAAAATTTGATCAGCATCAACAAAAGCCATCTATACTGCCAATATGGCACTGGAATGGCATGTTTATTTACTTACAGACTGTTTAATGCTGCTCAAGGGTGGCATAAATGTCTGTAGCTACTCAACAATTACATAATGTAATGGGATCACCGTAATTTTAAATTGGCTTAATAAAGTAGGCATATATAAATGATAAAATTAAACAATAGGATATATTACAGGGCTGCTGATTATTGTCCTTGATATTGGAAAAAAAAAACAAGTCTTCACATTGCTTATCTTAGTAGCATTTAAACAAAACCGATATTCAAATTGGGAATAAATTATAGCTACTGAAAGTGAGAAAAGAAAGTTTCCATCAGTGTCAATGAGTTCATCAAACTCCTGTTATCAATAACGCTGTCTACACTGCATAAAGATTTTGTTATCGACATGTATCTGCACTTAGTCGTTCATGATGAGAGGATTTGTGAGACTTCAGATTTCTTCTTCAGCGGTCACTAATGTAAACTCCTCTATTTGGATTAATGTGGAAACTTAAATGGTTTTAATGCTGTAACATTAATGCTGTAATTAATGCTGTAATTAAAACTGCTTAAAAAAGCTTTGATGCAACGTGAGCAGATATAAACATAATTCCGCAATTGACACTTTTTATTTCAAT